TGTACAGCCATGTAAATGCAACAGTGATTGAAAACAAACTAATTTACTTGGTTACTGGTAAAAGTGAAATTCTGGAAATCAAGTCTTTAATCTTGAATTAAGATGACTTAAGAGGAGATCTCCAAGTCTGTCACCTCAGCAATCATAAAGTCAGCACCTGAATTTGTGTGGCCACAGCATTGTTTTAAAAGAATTTATGCTGATCAAAGTTTAGTAAAGGAGAAGCACTGGTCTGTCTAGTTTCAAAGTGGAGGGACAGGGAGCAGATTCTGGAATGAAGAAACAGGAAGATATCCCAGCACAAGGAACTCAGCATATTTACAGCAGAGGCATTGAAGAGAGGTTGTTCAGCAAGCATTTTATCACCAGGAAGTTCTTATATCATTAGTAGAACACCTGTCAAAGCCAGCATGGAAAGGAAGACCACCAGCTCAAAGACAATGCCTTCAAGCTCTGCAATGTTAAGGTAAAAGTGGCCATGTGAAGCTGAAGTGCCCCTGTTCTGCAGCACACACCCTGGTTACTGCAATACCCCACTGGAGCACACAGGTTCTGGCCATGCCCAGTCAAGCCTGCACAGCACCTAAGGAAACTGCTAGACATGAAAGATGAAAAATCTTCATATGTGAAAATGGCCATGGCTAATCCCCAGTCCTGAACAGGGAAACTGATCTTCACACAATGCAATAAAAAACAGCTCAGACTAATAAGGCGTCTTCTTCCTCAGTACACTACTTCTACAGCACAAAATAGAGTTGTGAGTCAGTGAAACTGTTTAAACAAGGACTGAAAACACACAACCACATTGGTTGTTTCCAACAAAAAATACAATGATGTTTCACTTCTTAAAGACTTGGACTTTTTTCCTCTTTGCTCATTAAAGGCTAAGCTCACTACACATGGTGAAAAATATCTGCATCACCTTAGTCTGCCAGAACTCCAAGAAGCTCATCCTGATGTTTCAAGGGACTGAAAAAACTCTTCCACAAAATATATGGCACCTCTAACAGCTTTGCATTTAATGCTTCTTCAATACCTTTTCAATAAATATATTAAACTTCTACATCCAAAGAAAACTTGATTGAATATCGTCTTTGGGATTTGTGAAATAAAACTGAACGTCACTGATGAACTGTACCTAACCAGATAACAGCAATGAATAATTCGGCAAAATGCCAGGGATCATCAAAGACTGTTCATCAGTTATATTTAATTAAAAATCAGTCAATCTTGCTTCCTACAGCTTCTAGTTCCATAGTTGATAGTTAGGGTGGGGGCAAGTGGAAGGAAATGGAGTGAAGTACTTTTTCCATTGTCTCACAATGCATCCAGCCTTTTGTGTACCAAAATGCCAACTTACCCATTACTGTCCTGTGGTTACTATTCTACGCTTCCCCCTGCCCTCACCTGAATTATTCTCTAGTAATTTCTTGACTACCTAGAAATTATGTATGTTCAAAAGAATCATAAGGACTCAATTATTTTAGATATGCCAGTGTTGAGATCCATTTTTAGTCTGAACTCCTCAGAATCTCTGAACAGTAGAACATCTACTTGTAGACCTAGTAGCAAATAGTTAAAACTATAAAAACTATATGAGCTAGACACTTTTTTAATGGAAGTGCAAATTTAAGGAGAATGGTGATTGCTAATCCTGTGGGTGTATTTTTGTTCAAGCTAATCATGCAGATCCCTTTCCTGCTGTACTACAGGAACTCTGAATTGTGAAGTATCTTTCAAATGGAAAAATGTTTCTATCAGAACCTCTACATGCCTGTAAACTGACTAAAAGAGGTCAGTCTAGTTACAGTGTGTTGGAACACACAAAGTGTACACAATTCTGAACTCAGAATTTGTCAGGTAAGTGGAAATGCTGGATTTTGAGCAGATGCATTCAAATGAGAAATGCACTGACCATGCAGGATGCTTACTACTAAACAAACAAACAAAAAAAACAAACTCTGAAAGCTAATTATTGCCATTTACTATGCAAAGCTGAGCAGGTTGGTAACATTTGTGTTTCAGGTATATATCTGAAAAAAAAAAAAGAAATAAATGAGGCCTCAGGAATTGAAAACACACAAAAAACCAGATTGAAAAATCCCCCAATTATGCTTCACTTGCATAAATACAAGGCAGTTATCCACTTAGCTCCTGTGTTTATTATCTCCATGCAAATCAGAATGGGAATGGGTTTAAATTTCTGTTAACAGCCTGTGTACCAGTCATTATGTATCTGTAGGGTATTGCATCCTTTCAATAACACTTGGACCAGTCCCCAAAGCATCTGTTAAAAAAAATCACATCCAGGCATGCTGAAGTGGACACGAGGCCTGGCTGGGCCAGGAGGCAGCATGAGTTTACCCAGGACCACCTCATTCCTGGCCGGGGGCTCAGAGCTGCACAGACAGACCTCAGCTCCTCCTATTGCTGTTCAGCCTCCCACAGGACACTACAAGAGGTGGCAGAGGATGAAGTGCTACAGTCTCCAGAAAACACAGTGTAGAATGAAGAGAAGTTGCAGGATGAGAGTGGTGTGAAGAGAGGAGTTGAATGCATAGGAGAAGGGAAGTAATTTTTCTTAGGGCCTGCACTTAAAAGATACCTCAGTAAGTCAAGTCAAACTCGTAACCAAAACTACACAACGTAGAGTCACTATGCATAACAAGGCAGACAAGTAGTTCATTACTAAAATTTTCTGTGTGATAAAAACCAGTTTCAAACCTTTTCTATTCACCAGGTGTCATAAAGATACCTCATCATGGGGCTGTCATAAACACCAGACTACACATCTGTCTCCCAGGCTCATCCCTGTGACACACAGAAAAAGATCACAATGACAACAGCTTTTAGCCTATACACCAGATACCTCAAACTCCTCGATTTTTATTAAAGATTTTCAGAAAAAAACCAAAAAAAGCAGCAAACAGAAATCTGCTTGCACTGGGGCACACCTTTTCTAATCTGAATCAAGTTATGAATACAAGGGTGCTGAGCCAGCAGTTTCCCAAAGACATTCTTATTCCTTGTTTGTTCCTGCCCTCCACACAAATACTCAGACGTATCCAAGCAATGGGAAAAATTAAAAAAAAATTTAAAAAAAAGGAAAGAAACAAAAAACCAACCAAACCCGCTCACATTTAAACACAGACAAGCTCCTTAATTCAGTGTGCCCTGTAATCACACAAACCATCCTGCAAAGGATGGATCACTGAGCAGCAAGGCTAGATCTTTCCCAGCCTGTAACATACTAAAAACTACATACTTACTACAAGGTCATACCAACTCAGAAGCATGACTGATGCTTTCAAAGCATTAATCAGATTTATAGTTCACCATATTTACTTTTTAACCCTAATGGAAATTGCATGTCTTATGGTCACATGTCTGTTCATACAGCTTTCTAGTTCTACATGTTCCATTTCCATAAAACACTTTGGAAACAGAAGTGATTGTACACATCGCTCCCACTTAAGTTTCAGAAGTTTACAGAACCTTAAGAGTGCTGTTGCTCCAAAAGAACAGTACTCATCTTACTTCTGATCTTTGGAATGACTCAAAATAGTAGTGTCTCTTCAAAAGATAACAAGAGATTTTCATACAAAATGGACTTCTGAGAGAAAACAGCTTGATCTAGATACAGAGTCTTCTAAATAAATCCACTAAGTTGCTCACTAACAAACGTAAGATATTTCCAATTCAAACCATGACCGTAGAAACATAATGTTCCTGCAACGCCACATGAAAGCTGAAACAAGATCCTCAATATATACTGATCGGGCACGCTAAAAATGTATGAATTGGGCACACTTTGCTGGTATTTGGAATGTAGACCATCTTAACCTCATTCTGAAAACCAGGCTTATTGCCTAAATTCCACTGAATGTTCTCTCTCATCCATATGCCAGCCGCCACCCAGCAAAAACGATTGACAAATTTCCACAAAAGTTGGCTGCAAATTAAACTTCAGGAAGACTTCAAAACATTCATCCTTCTCCACTTCCTCCTTCGAAAGCCATCTTCCCATCGACCAACAAACATGGTCATTGTCTACAGCAAAACAACGAGTTATAAAAGAAAAAAAAAAAAAAAAAAGAGAATCCAGGGTGGGTGGTTCGGCAGGACGGCAGCTGCAACGGCGAGCGATGAATGAAGCGGCCACGGGGTATTTCCCGGAGCCCGGGGTGCCTCAACGCGGCCAGCGCCGCGACCCGGTGGGCGAGTGGGGAGACGCGGCGGCCCCCAGTCGGGTGGGAAGGTGTGCGAGTGACAGGCGGCGCTGGGGCCGGCCTGCCCCAGCCATAAGGAGCCGCGGCCGGGACGGTGGCGCCAGGGCTCCGCTCACCTCCGGTTCGGGGTACGAGCTGGGGCCTCCTCAACCCGCTCCCCACAGTCGAGCCCGGGCCTCCCGCCCCGCCACTCACCAGGATGCGCTTGAAGAGCGCGTTCTCCTTGGGCGGCAGGCTCACAGACGGCATCCTCCCCGCCGCCGGCTCCGCCGAGGGGTTCCGAGGAGGAGAGTGAGTGGGCGGGCCGGCTACGTCCCGTCCCCGCCGCTCGGCCGCCGCCGCCGTGAGCCTCCCCGCAGGAGTATAGCCGCTCCCGCCGCCTGCCGCCCGCGCCGCCGCGGGCCCGGCCCTTCCCGGCCGCTCCCAGCCCTTCCAGGCTCCTCCGGTCGCCGCGCGCGCCGGGCTCCCCGCGCCAGCCCCGGGCGCGCTCACGTGGTCCCGAGCGGCCGCCGAGCCGCCGCCAAAATGGCACCGCGGCGCTTCCCCAGCCGGGTCACGGCGTCCTCGCGCATGCGCCGCGGCCCCGCGCCGGCCCCGCCCTGCCAATTGTGTGGGCTCCGCCGCGGAGCCGAGGCCGGCCCGGGGTGATTCCGGCTCGGCGGCGGCACTGCTTGGTGCCGGCAG